CCTCGCGCTCCTTGCGCTCCTCCAGCTCCTTTTCCAGCCGCCGCTTTTCTTCCATCTCGCGCCGCTTTTCCTCGAGGATCCGCTGGCGCTCGCGTTGCCGGTATTCGTCCTCTTCTCTTCGTTCTGGTGCCAAAAAAACAAACAAAAAACATGGTACAGTGGAATCTCGTTACACTATAGGTATTCCCATTATAGGGACCTGATGGAAAATCCGTTGTATCAAGATTCAAGGTTGTTGACGAATTTATTTCAGGCACTGGAATTCCATGAGGAAGGGGTATGATAAACATTATGCTATCAAGTGCTTCCAAAAAACACATATATTGTAATTCATGATCTATGATAATTAATTATAAGTAGTCATGTTGTATTGTATTTTCTTTTATTTTTTTTAGCAATTTGTGCTTTCCTGCTCTGAAGTGATTAAAATGTCATTGAGTGCATTTGGGTTGGGTGGGAAGGGGGTGTGGTTGTGGAAATTTTGATTGAACCTTGTGAACGCTGAAAATCAGCAAATAAAGTTTTCTGTTCATTCATTCTTTCTAAAGCCGTCCATTTGCTTTGGCTTTATTAAATTAAGAAAATATTTGCATTACGAATAGGAGTTTCGATTGATTAAGGAAAGTTGGGGTGGGGTGGGGAACTTCTGTGGCCAACCTCTTTTCACGAATGCCTTTCTCGCAACCCTGTTGTCGTTTGACTTTTCGGATCGAAGATCAGAACCTTTTCGTGATCTTGGTATTCCTGCATTTATTTTTTTTTATGCCAGGAATCTGCTTATGAGCGTTCTGTCGGACACACGAGCAAGAATTCAAGCCTCCAGAGCTATCGAAATTGGATGCATCCGAGGGTCGGAAGTGAGATGTGGACTCCCAATCGCCGAATGCCCGACAAGTATTTATTCTTCTCCTAGAAACTCTCCAGCAGAAAGGAGAATAATACAGCGAACAGAAGACAATATTTTCAACGAAGACCCCTCGGAACCCCCGCGGATTCTGTGAAAGAGACATTTTTTCTTCTTCTTGGTTTGTGCATCAAAAATGTTGGCACCTGAGTTCAGAACATGTATTGCTTCGTGATGCAATAAAAATCTTCGTTTCATTTTTTCCGATTACAGTATCTTCGAGAAGAATGGATTGAGCACAAAAAAAAAATTATCAGTTGCTCAACGCGAGTTTTGAGACATGATGTCATTGATTTTATCGGTCTTGACGCGAGAGAATATTGTTTTGATACAAAAGCGCAAAACGTGCTTAATTTCTACACGCTAGCCAATCTTTCCATTCTTCATCCAACGAAATTTAATTTGAAAAAAATGGCACATTTGACCAGCAGATCACCAGCAGAAAATACTGATTGAACTGTTTTTCAACAAGATTTCATCACAAACAGAAAGAATGGATGATGCAATCGAGGAAAACATCTTTCTTTCATATCCCCCTCAGAATGAAACTTGATGTGCAAATTGTGTGGAAAAAAATAGTGTCCAGACGAAGATTTGCAATGATTTTTCAAAACGATTAATCTGTTTTCCAATTAAATTTTCAATTGTGTGACACGTGAAAAATTGAACTTTTTGTTGGAATCATCAGACTTGTCTAAAAAAAGCATTGATGTTACAATTGAATGAACAATAAAACCGGTATGCCACTTTTCGCTGACTGATGCTTATTCGTTTTTTCACCAGAAATTTTAAATCAAATTCAATTTAACCTTAAAATTCCCCACAGAGGAGAAATTATAATTCAAGCAGTGATCGTTCGTATTGATGTCAAAGGTTCGCATCACACATGTGATACTCAGGAAATGAATCCCATCTGCTCTCTGTTACATCAGATCCCTCAATGCTCTACAGAGATTTGGCGTAACTGTACAAAGAATTCGTGAAAATAAGATTACATTAAGACCATTGAAATAAAAATAATTTACTGAGCTATTGGATAATAAATGCTTTGAGACGTTTATGGCGTTTCAGTTTTACATTCAACGAGAAGTGGCTGATTTTTCCCTCAGTAGGATTTTTCGCGACTCAACTCAACTGGTGAACAACACTTCTTCGTCTCCAGTCGAGAACAATTAACCTCATCACATGATGAAAATATAGTTTATATTCTGATTCAAGCTCTTTTTGTGCGTAGAATAAAGGCGCAGGGGAGAATAGTGTTCCGCCCACTGTAATAAAAATAGATTTATATACACAACCTGTTCAGCGCTGCTGCTGCTGAATTTTATTCTTGATCGTAAAGGAGTAAAGTATATTTAGCAGTGCTTCCTTTAAAATCTAAATTTATCATCACACGTGGAAAAGTTTGAATGCGGAATGAAATTCGACGATTTAAGGATCGGAGGGTTAATATTTTTCTCTTTTTTTGTTGTTCCGATTTGAAGACATGGTTAATATATGGAAGACACTCGCTACAACGGAATTCAAGGGACAACACAATTGTTGTCACAAATGTTTTTTAGGCAACACAATTGTTGTCACAAATGTTTTTTTAAGCAACACAATTTTTGTCCTTTGAACAATTGATGTAGCTGATGTGAAGAGACGATTTTATTATAGGCACCACAGTCGAAAACGGTATGGATGACTTTGTTTAGCGTCGCATTACATGAATAAGAATACCTTTTGCTGTCATCGCGGAAGCACGTGCTGAAAGATTCCGCACATCAATTTTCCTGCAAGCACTTGCACAAACGTCAGTCAGCTTCTCTCAGAAACGAATGCCACAAGTAACGCATATTAGCGGACCATGATAATCCTTTAATTGAAGCCGCGCGTGGCTCCCATCGTCACGGGGCAACAGCATCGCCATTTATTTGCTTGTTCTGCAAATAAGCAATATAACCTTCTCGGATCATATACCTGGCAAAAAAAAAAAGGGGGAAGGTCACAAGAATATGCTATATAGAATTTGCGCCCTTCCCACGCAGCAACTCAGGCTGCATGCTCAGTAATATGAAGGTTGGTTCATAAGTTTTGAGACTTTTTGAAATGGATCCAGCTGAGTTTTAGCAAATAAGTTTTTTTTTTAATTGCATGGCCCCATCGTTTGGCAACACTTCCGTGCTGTTAAAAATACTTTCCGCCGATTTCAATACAGTTTTTGTGCGCTAAAACCAACGATCAAAACAGTGCCGAAAATTCCATTCCATTTATTGATTAAGCTGCTCTTCGACGGCAGAAATGAGGCTGTCCTTGTCCTCAAAATCAATCCCTTTCAGCTTATTGTTCACCGTCAGGAAAAACCAGAAGTCACAGGGTGCCGATAATCACTGTCTTTTATCATAGAATTTATTGCGGAAAAAAATGCATTGGAAACGGTGGAGAGTATTTGGAATGGCACTGAGGTGTTGCCAAATGAAGTGACTATACGCGAGTAAAAAAATGTTTGGAATTGTTGAACCATTATTGGATTTATATTAAAAAGTGTCAAAACTCATGAACCAACCCTCGTTTACTGTGTAAACTTAAAAAAGAAGTCGCCGTCACGATTGTAATATGGACACATGATGAGATGCATCATTTTTCCGCGGAAACGCGTGGGCGAAGCAGAAGAACGTGCATCTGGCAGCCGACACAATTACAATAAGGCACTTTTTCCTGACGTCTACCGCATGGGTTATTGCGATGCGCGTGTGAAGAAGGAAATATGATGCGAAATGCGTATTTTAAGGCATATTATTGAATAAAGTCTTGAGCGACGACGCACCCTCCAGAAAAAAAAAATGTTTCCGATTTCCTGCTGCGCGAGCAAAAATTTCGGCATTCACTTCATCGTGTATCCGGCCTTTCACCAGTTTTGGAACAAGTCACATGTTTAATGAAAGAAGGAACACAAATTCAAGAAACTGGTGTTTTTTTATTATAAATAACACTCGAATCTTTCATCCAAGCATTATCCATCACATGTCTCGTCGCGTCTGCATGAATAAATCCTCACATAGACCGGAAGATAAGATGCAAAAAAAAAACACAATACCGTCTTCCCTCTCGTACAACTATGAGGACGGACAAGAGGCGGAAAAAGTAGCATTCCACTCTCCGTCAGCAACGCGAAAAAATATCAGCTTTGATTCAAGAAAGAAAATAGAACAACTTCGTTCGCATTCGACAAAACAAAAAAAAACTCCCACTCACATATTGCTTTCCTGAAGCTCTTGACTACCAGCAACTCCCCCACAACATGCAACAAAAAAAAAAGACATCAAGCAAAATATTGCGTGGGCATTGAGAGAACGAAAAATCACAACCATTTTGTTTAGTAACGATGGAAACTCCCAACTGCGTTACTCATACGACACAAAATATAAAGAAGAGGAAAAACCAGCAAGTTTTCCTTCACAAATTTAAACGCAACTCACGGAAACAAAAAAAAAGACTTCAGATCTTCTCAATTAGAAAGTCAACTTTTTTCTTCTGAGATGAAACTTAGTCACTTTTAATCAACGTGAACTTTCAACGTTTGGCGATGACATGAAGCCGTGAGGGCAGACACAATAATTAAACAAAAGAAAACCCGAGCACAGGGGGTTCGAATCCGATAATAGCTGTTGCGAAGAATAATCCATTTGAAAAATTTAAAATCTCGAAAGACACAAAAAACACAACAGCGTGAACAAAATTTAAACTATATGAAATCCCCCGACTCGGTTCACATGGCAGGGGCGAAGACGGAAGAGGCGGACTTTCGTTCGCGACGCTTATTATTATTATTATTATTATTGCCGACGGCGGTGGCGGCGGCGGCGGTGGTGGTGGTGGTGGTGGCGGCGTCCGCCGCCAAAGGCACGTAGAACATGGCCGCCTTGCCGACACTGACACGTCGCTTCTCCTCCAAGTAAGAACCGGAAAGGACAAGTAATCGGTATCGCTGACGAAGGTTTCGGGCCCTGACGTGTGCAGACGCGATTTCTTCGCAAAAGTTGCCAGGGAACCAGCCGCGTTCTCCGTCGCGGATCCTTTCGCCTTGATACCACCCTGGAAAAATGGACCACGTTTTTTTTTTTTTTTTTTTTTTTTTTTTTTTTTAGCTCCCGCCCGGGAAAAATGGCCCACGTTTTTTTTTTTTTTTTTTGTGAAGCACGGAAAGTGACAGTCAACAAGAACCAAACTGCGATAGAAAACTGATACACTACGCATTCTCTGTGTCGCACAAGTCAGAGCATATGACGTGCAAATTTGGGAATTTCATCATGCAAATATTTTTCAACAGCGTTCATCGGCGAGTCATGGGGTGTTTCCTTGAAAATTCTGTGGTCTGAAGTCACACAGAGACTACCTCAAATATGAAGATCGTCATGAAAAATGTGCCTTCTCCATTTTCCTGGAATTTAATGCCAAGAAAAGGTAACTTTCCTCATGCAAAAAATAGTCGAATAAAGTTCCTTTTTCTCAAGATCCCTCCGATTTATTTCTATCATTGTTCCTGTCCAGAATCAAAGATTCTACAGAAAAATGCTACCTCTTCAAAATACTGTATTCAAAACAAACCTCCCTCCCCCATTATTCCTATATTTTATTGCTGTACAAAACTGGGTGAGAAAAATATTTCAATCCCATATTGAGAGTACAGTACAAAGCTTTTTAAATGTATGCATATCACAATTTTTTCGCAATTTTCTGGCAAATCGATTCTTTGACAAATATAACTGTACTTTAAACGAACCACTAACTTCGGAAAAACCGAGTTTCAATTGCTGTAATTTTAAGAAGTGTAGTGCTAGCTTAATTATGCAAGAAAATAAAATGAGGATCACATTTTTCAGAAGAAAACTCTTACATCTTTTGGCTTTTCTCTCTAATAAAACTTTTCAACGAAGGGTCTTATGATTTTTACTTTTAGAATTCCGGGAAAATCTGAACGGAAATCACTCCTTATTCGCTCAGTTATTTAGCCTCAACAGTTCGCTGAGAAGGGCCGAGGTTTTACCGACTACATCACTTCCTTTCTCAAGTCAATTTTTCGATATCCAAGAACTTGAAAAAATATACTCGTAAGCATTTCTATCATGAAACCGCAGAAAATTACTTCAACAGGTCAGCATTGATCACATTCAGTTAGATTTTCCAAACTCCAAGCTCTCGAGCCCTCATTTTAAAAATTTCAAAGCAACGAATTTACAATTGAGCTAACACTTTAAGCTGATTGATTAAATTCATTTAGATTCTTGTCCATATTCTCCATCCCTCATTAAAAAAGTTTTGAAAACAACGAATTTACAGCTGCATACACATTTGAAACTGATCCGTACTTCATTCTTTATCCGAAAGGCGAAGATCAAAATACAATGACGTCTCCTTATCAACTATCCGAACATTTTCGCGGAATTTCAAATCCTCGCTTGATTGGCTATACAGATTGCTCTTCAATCAAGTGTGAGTGATGATCAACACGGCAAGGAAAAAAATGACTCCATTCACGAGAATTTATGCATCAATCTAATCCAAGACCAGCTTTTCAATTTTCCGATGTGCAAACACCCATCAGAATTAAGAAAGGCACAGGCACATTATTGGCTTTCCATCAAGCTTTCTTCAGTTCGTCATCTCCGATACTGTGCATAGTTAATTAAACAGCTATTTATTCCTCAAAAGCTGCAGTGCGCTGATTCAATCAAGTTCTATTTTCAATTTCCGCCAGCGAACTTAATTGGAAATGTCAGGCGCAAAGCATCAAACTTTTCATTCCCGGAATACTTCCACCCCTTTATTATATTATGTTGTCCTGGAAGAATAAGCTTCGCAGATAAATTATGGCAATACGCTGTTTTTAACGAGTAATTGAGTTCCTGTCTGCTGCACCAAAAGCGGATTACCATCACTGACGCAAACACAAATTTCGTACGACGGAAACGAAAATAGAAGAAAGTAATCTTGAGCTAATTATGGCATAAAGACGGAACTGTGGCCAGAAAAAAAAACATATCATCTTGATTACTTGAACCAATCTGGAAACCATGAATGGAGAAGAGAGAAAGTATATACGAAGGCGTAAATGAAGCTTTCATTCGAAGGAACGATTCTAGGTATTGGGGGAAATGAGAAAAGAGCTTTTCATACTCGTATATGAGTAAAAAAAAAACCATCTTCGCCGAATGTGGATACAAATAACATGCAGAGAGGTGCGACCCCGATTAATGTGCTGCCAAAACCACGCGAGATTGAAATAACGACTCGCAGTGCTTGTTTTCCTCTTTTTTTTTTCTTTTTTCCTCACATGCTTTCATGGGCTATTCTAAATTGGGAAAGGAAACCCGCTGAACTCCAGCGTGACTCACGCACTACTGAACCCACAAAAACGTGGTTATTTCAGGCAGTTCTGAAAAAATAATATCGAAATTTTCGTGAAAGATTAAGGGAACAATTCCTGAAATCTTCGGACGTACGCAAGCATTTCGGCGCCTCGGACAAGAAATTTCAATTGTTTTGCCTTATTGGAAAACGATCATCGAATCGAATCGAAATTATATACAGTAGGTATGATCCTATGAATTTGCATGCTTTTACGGAAAATGACTCATTCCTCTGACTATTTTCAGATGATTTCGCATTGAATAAATATGTAAATCACAGTGAAATTTGCACTGAAGAGTTGAAAAAAGTAATCATTTTCATTTCCAAGCGCCAAAAATCTAGCGGTCGTCGAAATTACGTCAGAAATTTTTTCCCTCCTTTCTTACTGTCTTATTTTTCCTTGAAAGAAATTTGCATTACAGTATTACAGTCGAACCTCTTCCAAGTCATACCCCAAAGGACCAACAAAGAAATTTCGAGTGATAGAGGTTACAAGCTACGGAAAAAATAATTTTTGTTTAGGGAGAGAAAGACAAATTTACATAAATTGTAACTGGGGACATTCTGGACCTTAAATTGCCTCTTGAATAAGTTGACAGTAGGATGCTGAAACGTGAGAGGCAAGGGTTCAATTGCCTTATTCGTCTTTCACACATGAAGTTAATTTTGTTGTTGATTTTCTCTTTCCTGTGCCAATAAAACAAAATCCAAAAGGCCTCCAGGTTTGAAGTGGAAAGCCTTCGAGCTCTGGAGGTTTTTTTTAAATGAATTTTTTTCAAGGGAATTCTGAAAATGGCTTTTTAAAAAATGACATTGGGAGGCGTTTTTGACTTGAGGAGGTTCGAATTAACGAGGTTCAACTGCATATATTCAAAAGTGCCCAAAATATTCCCGTTTTCGTGGGGGTTTCGCAGTGAGTGAAACACCCTGTATCTTAATTCGGTGCAGAAAAAAAAAGCGCCAAATCGAGAAGATTGTCACGTCAGCACGTTTCAAGTGCGCGTCCTTCGCTCGGACTCTCTCATTCAGTCCCATAGAGAGCGAAAAAAAAAACCGGGCAATCTTCAAAAATCGGTCAAGTGGGACTTTTTTGGGGGACAGCGAAAGAATAGGAATTATTTCCTAAATAACGTGCGTCAACTCGTCACGTTGGAGAGTCATCGAGCTCAAGAGACTATTGCCAAGGTACATAGCTGGGATGCAGATAATCGATTTCTTCCAGGAGGAAAAATTACCCATTTTCGCTCCTTTCCTACGCTTTCTTTTTCTCTCTCTCTCTCTTCAAACAGGGACCCGGACCTCAAGTACCTGCATTGAACGAGATGAACATCAACCGAAAGCTCATCAATCCATAACAGACTTCATGAAATAATTTCCACAAAGCCGGTGTTCTCTGAAACTGGCTTCAAACGTTTTAAAAAGTCCTGCGCGTGGCTTCAATTCGATGAAATTAGACCAAGTTTTAGCAGCAGAGTCGGTAACAACAACACACGAGATTCAGTCCAAAAGAATATTATTGGAAGAAATATTAGCGGAAAACGATCAGCATACACGAAAGTTCTCTCACTAGGAAACAGTATCCGTTGAATTAACGGGATTCATAATTTTAAAATGGCAAAGCAATGTCATAAATTGTGTTCATTCGAAAAAAAAACGAGTGTTGAGAAAATTTAACACACGCCGTCATCTGGTTATTTATTTAATTTTCCTCAAGACTGCATTTCCTCATACTCCAGAGAATAATTAAACCCGCAAAATTAATACATTCAGCGCGATGAGGAACAAAGTTCGAACCACTTCCGTTTTTTTTTCATAGTGAGAGAACCATCGTGCATGAATCAATAGCACTATTTTCTTCTATTGTTATTTATTTTTAATGCGACACTAACCATCAGCAGTTTTCTTGAAAACGTTGACGACGTCGGACGTTTCAAGGCTGAGCTCGTCAGGCTGCTGAGCCGTGTACGGGTGAATGGCTTGGACTTGGGGACAGTCCCATTCCTCGTATATCACTTCGTTAGGGTCACTGGATCGTCTCGGGGTAACAGCTTCTGTCCATCGAGCTCGTTCAGAGTCTCCAGGGCAAGCCAATACCTGCAAAGACGAAATGCTGTTCTGTACTTCCACTTTCAGTAACGAACGCCACCGAAAAAAAAAGATCCCTCCCGCAATACATCCACAGGAACTTCGGCGAAAAAATATAATACTTTACGACGGTTGTCCGATATCTTTAGAGTAGGTGTGATATATAGTTTAAAAAAAAAGGCATGATGACATTGCCCATGATTTTGTGAGGTTCTGGGATTTTTTTCGGATAAAATTTTGTTCTTTCAATTTACTGAATAATTATAAGTTACTGTACAGTCAGAGTTCTCCATCCATGTCACAGAGTGCTAAAAATTTGTCAGGCTAGCAAAAAAAATCGAAATTTGTCGTTGTTTCAGCCATTATCTAAAATGTAGAAAATAAAATAAATGAAATATACACCTGACAAATTTTTAGCACCCCGTGACATGGGTGGATAACTCCGGCAGTAACTAAAAAGTTTTCACGTATCATCACGCAATAAATTTTAAAAATATTTAAAATCCAAAAAAACCCCAGAATCTTAGAACACATTATGGGCTACGTCCGAATTTACTTTTTTGCGATCACAACTACTAAAGAACTATCAAAAACCGCGTACAATTATAACCAGGACAACCCGGAGCAATCGCGGACTGGATGTTATTGCAAAATATTCTGAACAGCGATGTCCATTTTTTTTTGCCAAAATAAAATTTCGACAGGAGCTTTACACTATAAGCAGCTTTCAAGTGGATTTACAAATGTTTTCCACGTGCAGGGAGAATCAGTTGAAAAAAGGGTGTGGTGCATTAGGAAAATTCAGCTTTTTTCGAATTTCGTGTACAGTGCCATCCCAAGTGAACAAAGCAGCTTTCAAGTGGATTTACAAATGTTTTCCACGTGCAGGGAGAATCAGTTGAAAAAAGGGTGTGGTGCATTAGGAAAATTCAGCTTTTTTCGAATTTCGTGTACAGTGCCATCCCAAGTGAACATCACTGCGTCAAGAAAATCTGAACAGAATTGCCAGAAACAGGGAAGCTTCAGAAAAAAGTTCTCCTCATTTTTGCATGACATTGTTCTTCTAAAAAAAAGTTCATTCAACCTTAATGTGCTAATTTATAAATTTCCATGCACAGTATGCAGGAAATCAGGAAAATTAAACTTAATTGACTGAGAAAATAAATAAAATGCACTCCTTAACATCGATTGGTGGATAATAATGTACGAATAAGTGTAGAGATAATGTAACAAATATGACCGAAGCACAGGAAGTCCGACTGTTGATGAAACCCCTTGCGTACACATGATACAGTCGTATTCTCACGAGAATATTTAAAAGGGCCGAAAATCTCTCGTTTCCCACTATTATTTATATTTTCACAAATAGTACTCATTATATTTATTTATCGACGAAAATGTTTTCTCCAAGGAAACACATGACGTGGGCCTTGTTGATTCCATCGGGAAGTTTTCCAGGCAACATAGTTTCATCGAATTCCTCCTGGATCTGGATCATGTTCCTCGAACAGTAATCGAGCACGGTGTAACCCTGTTCTTCCCTGAAAGGTATACAAGAGCGGAATTCCCGAAATTCAACCTCCAGCAGCGCACATATACCGTATATATAACCTTCAAAGATCGGATCAACAGAAAACTTTCTCCGTTCTAAAACGATGAAGTTCTAAAATAAATACTGTACAGCACTTTTTCCAGTCTAGACAGAAGAAAAAAACTTCTTCTGAAGTACAGTATTACATTGTTCCATAGGAGGAAAGTTGGGAATAAAGCACAACAAGGAATCCTTTTGATTACTGTATTTATAGTATGGTTATCCTATAATATACCATGTTTACTCGCGTACCACGCGCCCTTGAGTAAGACGCGCAACTTTGTTTTCTTTTCTTTTTTTGTGCTAAAATTTAGGAAAAAATTTATAGCACAGCGTAAAGACGCTCACCTTATAGTTCTCAGTTCACCAAATTTATCTTTTTAAAACCACAGGGGGTACAAATCTAGAGCACGCCAAATTAAAAGTTGATTTCAATGTTGTTTTGACTTGCGCGAAGCAAATAATCATTCAAGAAGAGAGTTTCAAAAAAGTTCGAAAAGGGGAAAACAGTTTGAAGTTTTGAAGGATTGCACTACTGTATATAGAAAAATTTGTACCCGACTGGGACGCGTCCCTGTTTTCTTTTTTGTTGGAGAAAAAAGTTGCGCGGTACTCGAGTAAATACGGTATAATAATAGTTAAAATTCAAATAAAATAAAAAAAATAAAAACACACACGAGGATAACTCACCCTTTTTTCTTCGTTATAATCAAAACGTCAGTAAAAAGGAATAAATGCAGGGGTTGTTTGTGCGGCCGATTCCGGCCCAGTCCGCCGGCCCGCTTCATCGTGTCCGACTCTTTCCAGAGCAGCCGAGTCAGCTGGCCGCGCTTGACGAGCCACCGCGACGCCGACATGAGCGGCAGGGCCTTCACGCCTGTCCCGAAGTCCAGCTGTCTGCTCAACACCAACAGCTCCTCCAGTCGCTCCATCTTGCGAGCACCTTCGTTGCATTCGTGCACCACCTGTAAAAAAAATGAATTGAGAGAGAGAGAGAGAGAGAAAAAAAAGAGGAATTAACTATAGAACGCCCCACTCAATCAATCAGTATATGTCGATTCAACCAAACAAGATCCCTGACCACAAAAAAATAAGAGAGAGCCACAATCATAGGATTCTGACTGCCAATAACTGCTGTACTTGTGATGCACATACAGTACATGCATCGCAATGGTATTCAATAGATGTAAAATTCCGCTGCGAAGTACAGTACGTAAAACTGTGATTGGACACACAGAATCTTGTGAATGAATGAATGAACGGAACACTTTATTTGCTGCTTTTCAGCGTTCACAAGGTTCAATCAAGATTTCCACATCCAAACCCCCTTCCCACCCAACCAAAATCCACTCAAAGACATTTAATCACTTCAGAGCAGGAAACAGAGCAAAACAATTTAGAGAGAATCTTTGATGAGAAATCATATAAGGCCAACAGTTTATTCTTCAAGATTTCAAAAAAGGGTCTCTTCATTGAATTCCAATACTTGTAATGTTGTAAATCAATCTTGTGTTTGCAACACTTGTTCAGCATTTTTAAAACAAAGTTTGAACCACACAAACCCCCTTTGCCGAAAAAAAAATTGTTCTCAAAAACGCAGAGATAATCTGACTTTGATTTAAAAATTAAACAAAATGCAGTATTTGTTGATGCTTAAAAAATGAGTAATAGAGCATATAAAAGTTAAAACTATCAATTAAAGTTGTATACACTCATATGCAATACAGTTGAACCTTGATAACTCAAACCTCCTCAAGTCAAATACTGTACCTCCTTGTGTCGAATTTGTTTCATATCCCTATCTGGATTCCCTTAGAAACAATGAATTGAAAACTTTACTAACTCGAAAGCTTTTCTCTTCAAACCTCCATATAGCTTGAATTTTCTGGAGGCCTTCTGGCTATTTATCTTATGGACAACAGGTAAAAATAAAATCAATAACCTTTCAACTCGATGCGTTTTGAAATAAAATGAAAGACTAATAGAACAGCAGATGAACCTTCGATGCTTCCAAGTTCAGCATCCTGTTAACTCATTTAAGAAATAATTTAAGGTCTAGAAAAGATCACCTTCTTTCTTTCCCTGAACACAAATGCTTTTTTCCCGAACTTGATTTTTTTTTTTTGCTAGTCCCTTGAAGTTCGACTGAAAAAGGTTCGGCTGCACTGTATTTCTGAACATGAAAACATGTTTTTGGAAAGTTCACCGATTATATCCAAATATTGTTTTCATCCAGGAATAGGGCCACATTTCTAACTCCAAATTTTCCGATTTTGGGGGAGGGGTCACCCCTTTTCCCTGAAATACGGTCGCCGAAAATAAGGGCACGGCCTATAATTTCCATCAGCAATCAGATAATTATATCCGTCACTAAGGTAAATTCACCGATCACGTGTTGGCTTGAAGTCCTACCGAGCTTTCTGGAATGCGGGGCTGGTGTCAAAATAGCATAATTTTCACCTATAATAAGCCTCGTAAACCCAGAATAGAATACAAGTCACGTTTATGTAATTAAAAATGACATAAATGCAGACTACTCTACAATACAGTGAACGAAATAAAACTTGAGCTTCAGGCGACACCTATGTAAAATTAAATGAATCAGATGTGATCGAGTTCACGCGGAATTCGGGCGCCACCCGTCAATTGTTTTTTTTTTAAAGCCAGCAAAAGAAACGTTCAAGTTTTCTTTACATCGCACATAATATTTTACACAAGGCTTTTCCCCACACACATCTATCTATCAGTATAACGATGCATGCACATGAGGGCCAAAATATTCACAGTACGTATAAATGCTGCATTAAATGCCTTTCGACAGGTGAAAACTCACTTTGTTCAGCACGGTCAAAGCGTTCTTGCAGTTTTCATACTCCTCAGAAGATGGAGGATGGCGATGGAAGATGGCGTCAATGAGCAGAGGTAGCCTCGTGATACGTTGCATCGGCAGCATGAGGAATGAGTGCATCGACAGACTTTGACACACAGGATCAGTTTCCAGTTCTCTTAGCACTTCACAAAACTGAGGCGAAGTTTCTCTGCAAAAAGTAAAACAAGTATTCTGTAATTTCATACTGTGCTTTAATAATTTTGAAGAAATTGGCTCGGATGTACGGGAAAAAACTATTTATCCGGTTTAAGGAATACACTTAAATCGATGCCTTAAGGACGACGAGAGAAGCAGAACGCATCGTGAGATTTTGCAAATTTTTATGAGACCGTTCGATGCCTATGCAAAAATTATAGATAAATTTGTGGGTTGGATTTAGATTAATGACTCACTTGAGATTATTGAGGAGACGATCCTGGTGAATCTTGTTTGAACAATATTTGACATAAACCCCGAAATGGTCTTGCGCATGTGCGAGGATGATGTCTGAAATGTCCTCGATGACGATGTTCTCAGCCCAGCGTTTCTCCAGGTCGCAGAGCAGAGCTTCGCTGACGTCTCTCACTAATGCAAAGATACCAAATAATAAGTTCATGAGCACATATTGAATCTTGAAGAGAAGAATAAAAAAAAGAAGTCCCTAGGATAATAAGATACTGTACCTGGGAGGATGTCGGAGAAGAGCACGTCTCTGTCGCGACGTGACAAGACGCACTCCGGCTGCGAGTCGTCAGAGAACCGCGGGCATTGCATAAAGTGCCTGACCAGAATATTCAGCGATTTCAGATACGACGCTTCTGACGTGATCACTTCGAAGATCGCCTCCTGGAGTTTCTTCTCTTGCACCGACATGGTGTCTATTTAAACCAAAACAAAAATTAATAATCCAAAACCGATAAGTCTTCGATGATACAATTTGTATAAAATTTGCTATTGCCATTCAGAATTCAAGCGGTTGCGAAGCTGACTCATCGCCAATTTTTAATTACTTTACACAGGTCTCATCAAAGAAAAAACAGCTGCAAATGTACGCCATCCATGTAAGCCCAAATCATAATTAAATCAATTTCATAATGTAAGTAGCAGAGGGTGCATTGAAAAAATCACTTCGACTTTCAATCCGAAACGATGGTTAAAAAATCCTGAGAAATACGCCACCTCGAAAACCAAATTTCAAAATAAACATTACTTCATTGCCTTTTCGATTGTTTTTAAATTAGTTGTTGTCTTACAGCACATATAAGGAAAAAATTAAACACGAAGAAAATTTTTCCTAGGGAGTTTTAACTTTATCCCTCGGGTTTTGCAATTTTTCTGCATGCTATACAAGTTGAGATCCCTTCGTAAAACTATCTACGAGTACATCCCACGGATTGTGCGCAGTCCAGCAGCTTCGTAAAACGAGATCACATTGTAAAAACAAAATTGACAAAAATCAACAAACATTTGAAAAATAAAATAAAAGGTGTGTGCTCCAATTTGGGAACAAAACTATGCAGAATTTCGAAGTATTACGATCGGGGTTTTCTTCACGAACAGTTCAAGGCGTGCAAACCCGTCGCAATAAGCAGCAATTGCCACCACAAACTCTGTTTTGTTTGTTTTTTTCGCTGAGTCGTTTTGCCTCACGGCGCTTTCGTTCAAAGAAAATGAGAAACAAAGAAAGGTTTTAGCTTTTAATGGAAGGAAAACTCCAGTAGTGAAAGAAAAAGTCACCCCTTCGGCAAGAACGCTTACAACAGGGCAATTATAGAGAGGGAAATGTTGGATACTTGGCAATGTCTCACTCGAGAAACAATTGCTGCCCTTCTAAATTTCAGAATTGTAATTCTGCAACTTGAAACTGAAATTCGGCGGTTCAGGAGATTTTTTTTGAAAAAAAATCCACATCTATCGAATGAAATTCAAAAAACATTTGTCACTAATTATACTGTACAGTATTTTCATGCCAAAACATAAATTTCAAATGAAAGCTGAAGAACTGCAGCTTCTCTTCGAACACTGCATTTCAAGTTTGTTTTCTTTATTTATAAATCTGTCCACTAAAATAAATTGAAATGAAAAGTGAGTTTTAAAATTTTTATTCTTGGGTGTCGAATAAAAACTGATGCCCAGCTCCTGGGATGAAAATTTAGGGCGGTTTCAAGCAAAAACGGGAAGTCTCAAATTTTGAAAATAAAGTAATTGAAATTTACGAGGGTTTTCTTTGGAATTACATGTAACTTAATTTCTAGCACACCAATAGGGAATGAAATCCATTTACTATTTAGCTAAATTAAGCCTTCAGGCATTATCGTTTTCAAAAATGTGTAGAAGTGTGCCGGAATTTTCCGGTTTCCCCAACGATAAGATATTCTGAACACAAGTTGCAGAGGTCTAATCTGAAAAAAGAAATATATACGAAATGTCGCATTTCAGGAGAACACACGGCAACCGTGTGGCCACGTGCAATTTTTACTACAATATTCTCTCGCAAGTTCGGCAAAGTTTCCCACACCCACTTAAACACGCACGCGCGGGAAAAAAAAGACGCAAATAAAATATATAAGAAGAAAACAAAAAAAGATGAAATACCAACCTAGAACCCCGCTTTCCTGGACCTGAGGAAGTTCACACCACAAGGTGCGATGCGGGCTTCGCGGTCCGGCAAGTTCGAGGGCAGCCAGGGTGGACATCCTTCGGAT